ACTGACCTCATCTAAACTAACGACAAAGACAATAAACTACAATAAAACTCTTTATATTTAGATGCAGAAAGTACAGTGGGTTTATTTTGACCTGAAGAAATCCGTGTATCATTCATTTTTCAATATAAAACCAAAAATAAGAAAACGAAAAAACAACAGTTTTCTTCGTTATTTGTCTCCAAAACCAAAAGGAAAAAACGGATAACGATTTGTTTTTTCAGTTTTCGATTTTGTGTTTAAATGAAGAATGGAAAAAACGGTTTCCCGTTTACGTGACTTCCGTGATTGCGATACCGGACTTTTGCACCGCGTACGGACTGAACCCAGGACTGATCCAGGTCCGGGACCAGAAAGGGACCAGACCGGGACCAGGGCGGACTCCGAGCTTTGACTCCGAGCCTCCGAGGGGTCCGAGCCTCAGCTTCGAGCTCCGACCCTGCAGTGGGCTCTGAGCCTCCGGTCTGGTCCTGGTCTGGTCCTGGTCTGGTCCTGGTCTACCAAAAAAATACTCTTAGTGATGTATCGATACAGCAGCCCACGATATCGATACTGTATCATCACATTAAACAATACGATATATCGATATTTCAATATTTTTGCACACCCCTACTGTTGTTATTACTACAACTTGACTTTCAACAGGAAATGTCGGTTCTTGGTCTCTGATTTTATCAAATAAATTTCCCCAAAAAAGTGCAAATTCTCTCTCTCTCTCTATCTATCTATCTATCTATATCTATATATATATATATATATATATATATTATATATATCTTCATGATGCATTTTTTGGCTGGTGTGGCTTATACTCTGGAGCGACTTATTGTCAAGAAAATATGGCATGTACGACTGTAGAATAAATAGCATAAATAGAGCTGTTATTTCTCCCAAAATGTAATACAGACAGATTTATGTGTTTAGAAGATTTTAAAATACTCTAGAAAACACACCTGGAGTTTTGTTGACGTCATGAAGTTGTAGTTTTCAGGTTAACAGCAACAGTTTGTTTACTAGAGATCGGCAATTCCAGCAATTAAATAATCCAAATGATTCTAGTGAAGGCGTACGAAGTTTAAAAACACAGTGGAGCACTTCCTGTATTATCACATGGCATCACAAGATATGCAGGGTTTGTGTGTTCAACATTATCGCATAGATCAGACAACCTGTACCCGTCCATCATTAATGTAATCAAAAAACAACCACCGACACAGTGATTGTTTGCGGCTTCTTCTCAGGTTTGTTACTTAAAGTGTTCATGACAAAACTACTGTCACTTCTCTCAGGTTTGACTCACAACAAACCTGCAGCTAATTATTATTTCTAATGTGATTTGCTAATTGATTTTTCAGTAATTGGAACTTAGCGCTAAAAGGCATAAAATGAAATTCTTTAATCACTGTATTGTGTTTAGTGCTGATATGAGAGTGTGGCATTTTCAATAAAAACGCTCCACTCTTAATTAGAAGCATTGTTGTGTGGCTGATATATGAATAAACCTTATCTTTTTTTTTATATTCATGAAGTAAACAAACGTAGAAAATGGCTGAGACACTGTAGCGGAAAGCACACAGCTCCACACGGCCGAGAGAGAAGTCTGACCTCATTATTGATCCCATGAATTTTCCTTTAGCTGAGGTTAATGCAGATTGTAAAGGTTGAGTTCACGTGACATTTGAAACTGTCCAAAGTTTCAGACGGACGGCAGACGCCTATATCCACTTTATTTCTGCTCCTAAACTGCATTTTTTTGTGGTGGCACTTTGGTTAAACAGGGATTTCATTCATGTCAGTTTGGAAAAAGTTTTGCATCTTAAATATAACATCAAGTCGGTTCGTTTGTGTAAAATGTTCAATGTTCATGTGCCCCAAGTCACACTGCACCGATTCTCTGGAAGCTTTAAAGGTTGTATGGAGGATTTTTTTTTAGTTTCAAACTGTCAGTGAAAGATTAAAATACCATTACAGAGACGCAGCAGCTTTGTAATTATGATGACCAAAAAAAAAAAAAGAACGAAAATCTATCAACTGTGGACGTAGTTGAGGCCAGATAAACATCAGCCAATAGAAAACGAGGCTCCCTCATTTTCTATTGGCTGTTAGGTTGTCAATCAAACTCCCTAGTGTAACTGATTCGTCAGAGCGCGGGGATTACGTGGTTTACGCAGCGGTTCTTAGAGGCTTTTTCGAACTGTCGCTTCCTCACATTTCGCACAAAGTTTGTCACGACGGCGGACGAGAATCCACGACCGGTTCGCCGCAAAAGAAAGTCCGTTTTTGAGGTCGCTGAAAGAAGAAGAGAAGAGGAAAAGGAGCAAAGCCAAACTGAGGTGATTCTTGGAGATCTCGTCCAGCGATGGCGCGACCGAAGCAGACGAAGGGTCTAAAAACTGACGCGTCGGTCGCTGAATTACTTCTAGACAGGAAACTTCAACAGTAATTCTGAATGCGCAGAAGGACTGTCGCTGTATTTCTCTTCCCTTAAAAAAATCCTCTATACAACCTTTAAATCATCTTAACCCTCTCCAGGCAGACGTTGCAGATTTGCAACAGCTAAATGCCAATTACCTACTTACTCCACATCCATATTTTATGAGCTTTTTTTACTTAGGAGCCTTTTTTCCCATCCATGCTGATAAACATGGACGATGCAGACTGTGCAAGAACGGCTCCACACAAACGGCCTGCCAGAAGTGCAAAGTACTTTTGTTGTTTACAAAGGATAAAAATTGTTTCTTGGAGCACCACACGAAAGTGATGTTGTTCTGCCACTGTAAAGCTGTTACACTCTGCTTTTTGTTTTCATTGTGATAAAAAGTGGTTTACACATAAAGTTATTGTTCATATCATTTTCAGTCTCCAGTGTTAATTTACCACACTGGACCAATGCTGCAAATCTGCTACATTCCAGAACACACTGGATGTGAAGGTCTCGCTCAACAAAAAGTCAGGACTGTATATTGATGATCATTTTCCCCAAATATCAGATTTTTCCTGATACTAAAAATTAATGTGAGCCTGAGAGGGTTAATAGTCCATATTAAACTTATTTGCAGTCAATATCGGCAGCCCCATACTAAAAATTCTGTGTATCATTGGTTCATTTGTTTCTCAAAATAAAACCAAAAATAAGAAAATAAAAAAAACAACTATGGAAAAAACGGATAACGATTAGTTTTTTCAGTTAACGTTCCATTTCCCGTTTCCGTGACTTAAACTGCAATGCCGGATTTTGCACCGCATACGGACTGAACCAGGACTATACCAGGACTAAACCAGGACTGAATCAGGAGGACTAAAGTAAGTCTAAACCAGGACTAAACCAGAACTGAACCAAAACTGTGTCGGGATGAGCCCGGAGGTGCACCTGTACCCAGACCGTCGGGTGATCGCAGGCGAAAGGACCGGCGCAGAGCTCCACGCCCCACAGGGCAAGTGCAGCCGTCACCTGGTCGTGCTCCACAGGTTCAAAGTTTTCTTTCTTCTCTCTCGCAAGTCCTAGTCCTGGTTTAGTCCTGGTTTAGTCCTGGTTTAGTCCTGGTTTAGTTCAGCATCACAGTTTAAGTCACAGAATTGGGAAACGGTCGTTATCCATTTTTTCCATTATTCATTTAAACACAAAATCGAAAACTGAAAAAAAACTAAATCGTTGTCTGTTTTTTCATTTTGGTTTTGCAGACAAATAATGAAGAATTTTTGGTTTTATTTTGAAAAACAAATGATACACAGAGTCTAAATAATACAATCCGAATGATGATGATAGCGGCGTCAACACCAACTTCTGATCTACAGTTAAACCTTGTCATTATTTGTTTGGGGCAGGCTCCAAAAACTCTTAGTTAATCTTGAATCGTGATGCCACATGGTGATACAGGAAGTGCTCCTTTGTGTTTTTAAACTCCATACACCTTCACTAGAATCATTTAATTAATTTTAGTCCAGGAATTGCCAATCTCTATCGAACTAAAAGTAAAAGATGGAGCATATATTTTGAGCTTTGGACATTAAAGGTTGTATGGAGGATTTTTTTTTGTTTCAAACTGTCAGTCAAAGATTAAAATACCATTACAGAGACGCAGCAGCTTTGTAATTATGATGACCAAAAAAAAGAGAATGAAAATCTATCAACTGTGGACGTGTTGAGGCCAGATAAACATCAGCCAATGGAAAACGAGGCTCCCTCATTTTCTATTGGCTATTAGGTTGTCAATCAAACTCCCTAGTGTAACTGACTCGTCGGCGCGCGGGGATTACGTGGTTTACGCAGCGGTTCTTAGAGGCTTTTTCGAACTGTCGCTTCCTCGCATTTCGCACAAAGTTTGTCGCGACGGCGGACGAGAATCCACGACCGGTTCGCCGCAAAAGAAAGTCCGTTTTTGAGGTCGCTGAAAGAAGAAGAGAAGAGGAAAAGGAGCAAAGCCAAACTGAGGTGATTCTTGGAGATCTCGTCCAGCGATGGCGCGACCGAAGCAGACGAAGGGTCTAAAAACTGACGCGTCGGTCGCTGAATTACTTCTAGACAGGAAACTTCAACAGTAATTCTGAACGTGCACAAGGACTGTCGCTTTATTTCTCTTCCCTTAAAAAAATCCTCTATACAACCTTTAAGACAGATGACTAATAGTAACAAAACACAACTCCAGGTCGTTTTTTTGTGTAATAAAGGACCTTTAGAGTCACGTATTTCAAGTTGAATACTGGCACCGCTTTCTGAAGCGACTGTGAAAAAAACATTCACTTTTGTTGTTATGCATGGACAGAGAAGATGTTGAACTTTGTGAAAGATTTAGTTTTATGTGGATAGGCCCAGTAATTACAGAGATATGAACCATGAACCAGGTCAACGAATCTGCAAACTCCATTCTAACCTCTCTTCCCATTAAGTTAAGTGCCTCTGACCGGAAGTATCCAGCTGCCGTTATCCGTTGTTTTATTAAAATGAGTCGTCTAACCTGTCATATTGACCTGTCATTAACCCCGCCCCTTTGTCCCTGTCTCAGCCAATGGGAGCGAGCTGCTGATCGGGAGCGTGCGTTACGAGGACACCGGAGCGTACACCTGCATCGCCAAGAACGAAGTGGGCGTCGACGAAGACATCTCGTCCCTGTTTGTGGAGGACTCAGCCAAGAAGACCCGTGAGTCCGACACAGGGAGCAACATCCACGGACACTAGTTTGGGTTTTAATACACACATTTTAAAACACAAAAAGATGAACTGAAATCTAAGCTGACAAACTAATACAAGAATCACGTTTAAGAACATGTTTGTACAGAACTTAACTACAGGGTTCGAAGCTTTTACTCAGGAGAAGACTGAAGGTTTAGTTGTTTGTGATGGAAATACTGGTACTTTAAAAATAGCAGCCTTTTGTTAATAGTTTCCATTCGATTCCAATCAATCTTGCAGCTCTGTAATCTGACATATACAGTCAAACATGCGCTCCTGCTGGTGTATAAAGTCATTACAATCACATCTGAAGCTGTGAGTCCATTATCTGTCATATCCTGAGGAGACGTCATAGAGAGCCCTGTTGGGTTGAGTACAAACTGCTTTTAGTCGTAGGATCTGGCAACACAGAGTTAGAAGCTCTTTCTGCTTTCTGTTTGGATAATGATCTTGAAAACCAAATCGAAACTTACAGCAGTGCAATGGTTGTCAGTGAAATCTCTAAGGACAAAGATAAAACACGTTTGATCTGATGTCTGATGGACTCATTTAATTATGACTTTACTCATTGCAAAGTGAATGGCCACGTTTACATGATGTTTTTAAATTCTGAATTAATTGTTCTGAGTTACATAGTGCAGAATTAAAATATTCTCCTTCGAGTTTACATGGAAATAATAATTCCGAATTGAGGTTTACATGGAAAACACGTTAAATCATCTATTTAATTCCGCTCAACACCTGGGGGTGGGGAAGGATTCTGATTGGACAGAGACACCAATGTATTTATGTTGACCTGAAGAAAACACACACTTCAGCTGCTACCTGCTTTTCTGTCATCTCGGTTTGTTTGTCATTTCGGTTTGTCGGAAGAAGACAAACTGAGTCAACGGTTGCTCTACCTCAGCCCACTCCCACATCCCTCTCACAAATCTAAAGAGACGTGGATGAAAGTCCGAAGCCAGGACTGGTGGAGCCGGATCGTCCAGATTGCGTCAAAAGGGCGACACAACGAGCATGTGCCGAACAACCGGAATTATTTTTAAGAAGAATAATCATTTACATGATCAAGGAATAAATTCATTCGGAATAAAGCACCTACGTACTTCAGAATTAAGTTTAATTCCGAATTATAATTTTCATTGGAATTAAGTGTTTACATGGTCCTTTTTAAAGTGGAATTTTTATTCTGAATTAAATTATTTTTATTCAGAATTAAAGCTCTTATGTAAACGTGGCAAATGTAATCTGCTGATAGCTTACTTTGCAGTGACATTACATCTCTGGGGGTGTTCTACATGCATCTCTATTTGTGGAATGTTAGTTACCATGGGGATAGAAAGTCCACATTAGCAAACACAGACACAAACGTTTTAAGACGGTCGGAAAATTCAAGAAACAAAATGCAAAATGGTTTTAAAGAGAACATTTTCAAGAGTCTGTGATCAGTCCGAGCATTTTTTAGGAGTTTCATTTTCAACAAAACGGCGAGAGTGACTAATTTTACATGTCAGAGATTTGTTTCAGCGCAGTATCAATAGGAGCAGTACTGTAGTCGTAGTAGTTGTCCTTCTAATACCGTAGTACTTTAGCCATGGCTTTTCAAACAGCCCTGATGGAAGCAAAAGTCTGAATCTCTGCGGAGCTTTCATAACACTATAGAAGGTTGTGAAGGACCTGTTCAGACGTACACACGAGCACCTCTTATGGTGTTATTGGATTTGTGCCGTGGTTTGGTGGAGGGCTCTCGACGAGGAGTGGGTCTGCCGCTGTACGTCGCGCGTGCGGAGAGGACGGAGCTAATCAAACCTAATGCCGCACGCTAATGTTCTATTCAAAACCAGCGAACACACGCAGCCCCGCAGGATCGCTCACTGATTAAGTTTAACATGTGCTTTCTTTCTCCTCCCTCCCCACGTTCCCTCTTTTTCTGTCTTCACTCTTCTCTCTTGTCTCTTGCTTCCGGTGTGATCTTCGCTGCAGTTGCAAACATCTTATGGAGAGAAGAAGGTAATTCTAAACCTGTTCTGTTGTTCCTAACACCAGTGTGTGTGTGTGTGAAGTGTGACTTTTCACAAATACAAAGGTCAAATCTTTTTCTCAACAAACACATGGGCTTGTGCTCAGTTTAAAGGATATTTGTTGTGCTATAAATACAGTACTGTTGTAGTCGAGACCGCACTAATCGAGACCAAGACCACAGGGTCCCAAGACCAGGACGAGACCAAGACCTCTGAAGGTTGAGACCGAGACAAAACCGAGACCTCTGAAGGTTGAGACCGAGACAAGACCGAGACCTCTGAAGGTTGAGACCGAGACAGGACCGAGACCTCTGAAGGTTGAGACCGAGACAAGACCGAGACCTCTGAAGGTTGAGACCGAGAGAGGACCGAGACCTCTGAAGGTTGAGACCGAGACCCGAGACCTCTGAAGGTTGAGACCGAGACAGGACCGAGACCTCTGAAGGTTGAGACCGAGACAAGACCGAGACCTCTGAAGGTTGAGACCGAGACAAGACCGAGACCTCTGAAGGTTGAGACCGAGACAGACCGAGACGAGGTTGAGACCGAGACAGACCGAGACCTCTGAAGGTTGAGACCGAGACAAGACCGAGACCTCTGAAGGTTGAGACCGAGACAAGACCGAGACCTCTGAAGGTTGAGACCGAGACAAGACCGAGACCTCTGAAGGTTGAGACCGAGACAGGACCGAGACCTCTGAAGGTTGAGACCGAGACAAGACCGAGACCTCTGAAGGTTGAGACAGAGACAAGACCGAGACCTCTGAAGGTTGAGACAGAGACAAGACCGAGACCTCTGAAGGTTGAGACCGAGACAAAACCTAGACCTCTGAAGGTTGAGACCGAGACAGGACCGAGACCTCTGAAGGTTGAGACCGAGACAAAACCGAGACCTCTGAAGGTTGAGACCGAGACAAGACCGAGACCTCTGAAGGTTGAGACCGAGACGACTCTGAAGGTTGACAGAACTCTGAAGGTTGAGACCGAGACAGGACCGACCTCTGAAGGTTGAGACCGAGACAGACGAGACCTCTGAAGGTTGAGACCGAGACAGGACCGAACCTCTGAAGGTTGAGACCGAGACAAGAGACCTTGAAGGTTGACCGAGACTCTGAAGGTTGAGACCGAGACAGCGAGACCTTGAGACCGAGACAGGACCGAGACCTCTGAAGGTTGAGACCGAGATGAAGGTTGACCGAGACCTGAAGACAGAGACCGAGACAAGACCGAGAGCCCGACCTCTGAAGTTGAGACCGAGACAAGACCGAGACCTCAAGAGACAGAGACTCTGAAGGTTGAGACAGAGACAAGACCGAGACCTGAAGACCAAGGTTGAGAAGACCGAGACCTCTGAGGTTGAGACCGAGACAGACCGAGACCTGAAGGTTGAGACCGAGACAACCGAGACCTCTGAAGGTTGAGACGAGACCCGAGACCTCTGAAGGTGAGACCGAGACAAGACCGAGACCTCTGAAGGTTGAGACCGAGACAAGACCGAGACCTCTGAAGGTTGAGACCGAGACAGGACCGAGACCTCTGAAGGTTGAGACCGAGACCCGAGACGAGGTTGACCGAGACGTCTGAGCCAGGTTACCGAGACGAGACTGAAGGTTGAGACCGAGACGAGACCTCTGAAGACGAAAGACCGAGACCTCTGAAGATTGAGACCGAGACAAGACCGAGACCTCTGAAGATCCGAGACAAGACTCAGACCCGAGACCTCTGAAGGTTGAGACCGAGACAAGACCGAGACCTCTGAAGGTTGAGACCGAGACAAGACTGTTGAGACGAGCAAGACCAAGACTTTTAAAGGTCAAGATCGAGACAAGAACAAGACCACGAGCCATCGAGACTAAATCAAGACCATCTTTGTCATTTTCTGCAGCCAAAAGCACTCATTCCAGCGTAATGCTTCTTTTCGCGCTGTTACTCCGTAAAACTGTTCCTCGGACGAACTTGTACGAACTCTCCATGACTGTACAGCACACAGCTCTGTTGTTGTCATCATTAGCGCCTGTAGCAGTAACATGCGTCAGTGCAGAGTCTGAGCGCGGGACAGAGCAGCTGAACCACAACAGGTCAAGATGTGTGTTCATGTTTATTCAGACCAGTCAGTTGATTTCAGGCGCTCTGACCCTGCGCCCCAAACACGTATTTTAGTGCTAATGTAAAGTAATGGGCAGAGGCAACGTAATGACGTCAAATTTTCTCAAAACTTCAGGCGCTTCCATAGACCTGCATTAGGTCGCACCGACTCACTCAAACACACTCAAATTCCAAACACATGACTCAAATAAAGTGATATGAGACATTTAAAGGTTGTATGGAGGATTTTTTTTTTTGTTTCAAACTGTCAGTCAAAGATTAAAATACCATTACAGAGACGCAGCAGCTTTGTAATTATGATGACCAAAAAAAAAAGAATGAAAATCTATCAACTGTGGACGTGTTGAGGCCAGATAAACATCAGCCAATAGAAAACGAGGCTCCCTCATTTTCTATTGGCTGTTAGGTTGTCAGTCAAACTCCCTAGTGTAACTGACTCGTCGGAGCGCGGGGATTACGTGGTTTATGCAGCGGTTCTTAGAGGCTTTTTCGAACTGTCGCTTCCTCGCATTTCGCACAAAGTTTGTCGCGACGGCGGACGAGAATCCACGACCGGTTCGCCGCAAAAGAAAGTCCGTTTTTGAGGTCGCTGAAAGAAGAAGAGAAGAGGAAAAGGAGCAAAGCCAAACTGAGGTGATTCTTGGAGATCTCGTCCAGCGATGGCGCGACCGAAGCAGACGAAGGGTCTAAAAACTGACGCGTCGGTCGCTGAATTACTTCTAGACAGGAAACTTCAACATTAATTCTGAATGCGCAGAAGGACTGTCGCTGTATTTCTCTTCCCTTAAAAAAATCCTCTATACAACCTTTAACCAACTGATTCAGGGAGTTCTTGTTTTTAGCAGAAACGCTCCCAAACCACGAGACCAATGAAAATGTTAAAACTGATTCCATAAATGTTTTATAAAACAGTGTCATCATGGTGTGGTGTAGGCATTACATCGTTTTCACTCAGTGCTCCGTTGTCGTCTGGAAGTGAATATTTATTGATCGGACACGTGTGGACGCAAATTTTTTTCAATCCGTAAAAGAAAAATTCCAGGAGCGTTGTCGTGTGGACGTAGCCTAAACAGAGGCAAGTCGTAATGCAGGGATGTTGTAATAAGCGGTGGAACCCGGACCACAGTTTTCACAACAGTATATAGAATAGTAGCTTATGTGGGAAATATTATGTGGTGGTCATGCTAATTCACCCAATATTATGGACTTTGGAATGACAACAGGGTGGAAAACACGTATGATTATCTATAGGTCTATATAACATGTTTTTTCTGTACTTGGAGTACCATAAAGAACATGTTTTTCTGGACTTTGAGATGCCACGAAGCAGAAAAACTGACACATGTGGACCCCGTGGCATGTTCCCACCCATGATAAGGTGCACTGGGTCAGCAGTATTGTTCATTTTCTTGCTGTATATGCTAAATCAACAAGCTAATGTTTTGTCAAGATGTAGTATAAAGCTACCCCTGATTTTGAGTTGGTCAGAGACGTCGTTCCGGGGTGGCAGTTGTACTTGGTAATCAACTTGAATCTCTCTCAATGGAAATGCTGAAATAAAGTGGCCTGTTCTCTCGGATTCTCCATCTCTCGTGCTTCTTTTTAGGACACGCATTGAACCTTCCGAAAAAACCCACACTTATCACCACTAAGCGTGAAGTGGATGAAGAACGCAGGGTTTGAATGCAACACTGAGAAGAAAATGTGGCCGTCTGAATCTCCTCCTTTGACTTGGACGGGTCTTTGCTTTGATGCGCTGAAGACGCCCGTCCCGCCGCTGGACACACATCACTTGTTTACACGTGTCTCTTTTGCTTATCTGTGTTTCCTCTGTTGTAACGAGCCGTCGCATCCTTCACCGCTGTGTTGTTTACGGCTCATCTCCACGGCTACACACGCCCATTATCAAACTGTCTGTGCTCCGAGACGCCGCCAGCTTTAACGCGTTTATGCTAACTCATCAACTCGGCTGACACGCACAGTATGTTTGAGTATCCTGAAGAGGGCACTGAAAACAGAGCTCGTTTCAAGTCATTGTCTCGCAGAGTTCTTTCTTCATTTCTCCTCTAATTATACAGAATAATAAAAATACAATAACAAGCAGAGGCTCAGCAGAGTCGTCAATGTCAGTTTACTTTGCTGCGTTTATAATTTCCTGAACACAGTCTTCCATCTGCTCCTAACGTGCTTTTCCTCGCCGACGATAGGCTGTAGACCTCTGCAGTAAAAAAGAGACAGATTTCAGTTTTTGATTTTGTTTTCCAGACCTGAGCGTCTGTGGTTTTGTTTTCCAGGCCTGAGCGTTTGTGGTTTTGATTTCCAGACCTGATGTTTAGTTTTGGGTTTTGTTTTTTTCCGACCTGTGCAGACCTCAGCATTTGTGGTTTTCTTTTCCAGACCTGACTGTTTGTAGTTTCTTTTCTAGATCTGAATGTTTATGGTTTTGTTTTCTAGACCTGAGAGTTTGTGGTTTCTTTTCCAGCCTTGAGCATTTGTGATTTCTTTTCCAGACCTGAGTGCTTGTGATTTTGTTTTCCAGACCTGTGCGTTTGTGGTTTTGTTTTCCAAACCTGAGCGTTTGTGGTTTGTTTTCCAGACCTGAGTTTTGTGTTTTGTTTCCAGGCCTGAGTGTTTATGGTTTTGTTTTCTAGACCTGAGAGTTGTGGTTTCAGTGAGTTTGTGGTTTTGATTTCCAGACCTGAGCGTTTGCATTTTGTTTTCCAGATATGAACGTTTATGGTTTTGTTTTTTCGACCTGAGTGTTTGTGATTTTCTTTTCCAGGCCTAAGCGTTTGTAGTTTTGTTTTCCAGGTCTAAGCATTTGTGTTTTTTTTTCCCAGACCTGAGCATTTGTGGTTTTGTTTTCCAGACCTGAGCGTTTGTGTTTTGTTTTCCAGACCTGAGCATTTGTGGTTTCTTTTCCAGACCTGAGTGTTTGTGATTTTGTTTTCCAGACCTGAGCGTTTGTGGTTTCTTTTCCAGACCTGAGCATTTGTGATTTTGTTTTCCAGACCTGAGTGTTTGTGATTTTGTTTTCCAGACCTGAGTTTTGTGGTTTTGTTTTCCAGACCTGAGTGTTTGTGGTTTTGTTTTCCAGACCTGAGTGTTTATGGTTTTGTTTTCCAGACCTGAGTGTTTATGGTTTTGTTTTCCAGACCTGAGCGTTTGTGATTTTGTTTTCCAGACCTGAGTGTTTGTGGTTTTGTTTTCCAGACCTGAGTGTTTATGGTTTTGTTTTCCAGGCCTGAGCGTTGGAAACATGTTTTACATTTTCTCCGAAGAGGGAATCACGGTGTTGCAGCCGAGCGAGTGTGAGATCCGCCGACAGATGAAGAGGACGGACCGGATCGTGGCCACTTACGTAAGGACCACAAGACACAAACTATGAACAAGTTCACAAAACACAAGAAAAAGTACAAAATGAATTTTAAGGTTGTTGGTTGGAGGTCCACCACCTACTTGCTTCTATGGAAATGTCTGGAATGTTCCACAATGTAAGCAGCTCTACCTTACGTTTCTTCAGTCACAGGTGGTTTTATAGCTCAAAAATACCTAGAAAAACAAACACTCTGACTGTGGATCAGATTCACAAATCTGACCTGTAACTTGGTCTGATTTGGTCTTCATGATGATAGAAAGGTTTAATGCCATACTGTGAAACTTTTCAGACAATGCATGAACATCTCCATGGAGAAAAGCATCTGACAGACCCTCCACCAGGAAAGTTACACAATGCAGCTTTAAACATCACATTTTCAGGAGCCTGTGATCAGTATGAGTGTCAGTATGTCATGATCTCGTTTAACCCTCGTGCATCACTTTAAAAGAATCACACCTGTGGTCCTTTGTGACAAAAATGTACACCAGAAAAGAATACCACATTATTTTTCTTCAGTACACATTTTTGTACAACTTTTTTTTTTTTATATATATATCAGTGTGTTCATTTACTGCTGTCCTAATCATACATACCAAATAGTACATAATATTTGGATATTTTAACCCCTTAAATACCACTTTTGATAGCAAAAGTATCAAATTATTTGCATGAAAAAAGATAATTTTTGATCTGTTTGTGTTGGGGTTATCAGGGTCTGGGCATGTTATAAAATAGTTCAAACACTGAAGAGATTTTTTTTAGTTTTTGCACAAAACGCTGTTTTCCCCTAAAGCCCCATTGACTTCCATTTTTTGTTGCACTGACATAACACTAGGAAATCATAAATTGGGGGTTTTTACAGGTTTCTCCAGTTAAGAAAAGATAAAATTTGTAATTTTTACAATTCAAACCCAACTCACCCCATTACACCTTCTATAGGCCCGTCTGCAAACACACCTGGAGTTTTCTTATGGAGTTCTAGACATTTGCTTTGTGCAAAAATGACTGAAAATGTAAATATTATGATCATGCTTGAAATGGTGGACCTAAAAGTCATAGAATATGAACGGTCAAATATAAAATTCTGAACACATCTGAACACACTGACAGGAGAAAAACAAGTATCAAGTGGAATGAAATTGCAATTACTCTGCTTTTAAAAATAAACTTTCAGTGTTTATCCACAGAGGCGTAAACACTGACAGAAACCTGAAAATGCACGCACACACGCACACACACACACACACACACACACACACACACACACACACACACACACACTCTCACGCACACTCACACACATACTCCCAAACAACACATTCAGTGCGCTCTGGGACTCCTCTAGAACACACCCAGATCATTTTAACCTCAAATATCTGCGTCTCTGGCCTTCAGTGTGGACTCATATGTACAAATATATCTCTATTGATAAAACCTTGTAATGGAAGATACACAGTAACACAACAAGAAAAATATTTTTTAAAAATTCAAAAAGACATTAAAACTAAAGGGTTTTTAATACAAATAAATTAAAAAGTACAAATATAATGGCAAAGTTACTAAGTTAAGACAAAAAATGAAAAAAATAAACATAGAAATTAAAAATACATCACAAAATGCTGGTGCTATTTGGTGCAATAACATGTAAAATGTACCTAGGGCTGTATGAGCATTAAAGGTTGTATAGAGGATTTTCCAAGGAATGAGAAATCCAGCGACTGTTTGTCCTTTTTCAAATGTTGCGCATGTGTGAAACCACCTCCCCTCCCCTACAGCTCCTACGTAGAAACGCCTCCTCCCTCCTCCTCCTTACGCCAGAAACAGGTTTGTTTACAGCCGGTGAACTGCACATGACTTGTAAACAACTAACTACAGTGTTGGTTAGGCAAGACGGAGAAGTGAGGAGCGGGGAGAGAGGAGAGGAGCAGGAAAGGGGTGCAGAGAAGAGTGCGCGGAGATTCCGTGCGAATGAACTAGCTACAACACGCAGCAGCAAGCGGACTCTTTCTTTGCCTTGAAAATTACGTTTTCAGACATAGGATATCGCTTTCGTGTCCTGAAAAACGTTTGTGTGGCTCTTGGAAATAAAGTACGTTTTCATAATAAGCAGAAGCTTCCTGTCCAGGAGTAATTTGTGGACCAGTGGTTCAGTCTTTAGACCCTTCGTCTGCCCACCACGTCCAGAGTTGATGAATTTTTATTCTCTTTTTTTTGGTCATCATAATTACAAGGCTACTGCACCTCTATAATCTATCATTGACAATTTGAAACAAAAAAAATCCTCCATACAACCTTTAAGAGTTTGATTTTCAGCAATGATGTGAGGCATTCAAAAACTGTTGGCTAATACCACCTAGACACTGTAAAGTTATTTGAGATGGACTTGTCACTTCTTCATGATCAGATTGTGTTCAAACATATAACAGCTCATATTAAAGTTGAGTGACTGAATGTAGATGACATCAGCTGCAGAGTATCAATATACAAAGAGCCTCTTCTGTGACTGTTTAATCACATCATTTTTGTTACAGAAAGTTTGAAGTTTGACTGCAGCAGAAACCAAACGCCTGTTTTCTGCACATTTATGAAGACATGTCTCACTTTGATTGGTTTGGCAGAGCTACACCGCAGCATTAGAACTTGATTTTATGCCAGTTTCGAAAATAACCACCAAGACAAACACTTTTAACTTCTTTGCTGTGTTTCAGATGACATCACAATATTCCACATGTCAAACATATTTAATACAGATGGGCGCAGCTCAAATTAATCTTGTTAAACTGCAGATCTTTTGTTGTAATAATGTGAGTTCTTGGGTCTAGTCAAAATTTGAAATTATTAGGTTCAATATGTGGATATTTTATGTCAAAGTACAATGTAAAAACCGTCCCTTTTCTTTAAGATAACAAATCAATGTTCTCTTGAAGCTGTGTTTCTCTTCACCTTTGTCAGTCTAACCGGATTAAACGTGCGCTGATAGCCTCCACACACACACACACACACACACACACACACACACACACACACCGACGCACTCACCCAGAAGCACGCACTCACGCACAAGCATGTACACACTCTGTCTGTACGGGACAAAACAAGCTTAAGTTGGTTAAAGTGTCGTGTTTGTGCGGCGTTAGTGTTTTAAGGGACTCTGTGATTGGATTAAAGATCGATCCTGAGTCTATAAGACCTGCTCCTGCAGCACTCACACTGAAACAGACCAACACACTGGCTGCTGCATCTTTCACTACACACTCTGACAGGCCTGCACCTGTCAGTACAGACTGGTTCACTGCACCTGTCGGTGTACACTGCCAAAAAGCTTGGCCAAGATATAAACACTTAAATCTATCAGAAAATGACTTAAAAGCAGTGAAATGATCTGTCCATACAGCAAGATCATTTTACCTGACAAGTTCTCTGAAAATAAACGACCTCTAAACTAGAATGAAGCATCTCAGAACTAGTGAGTAGAAAAATAAATCTGAAAACAAGATGAACAACCTGATATACGGTTTAAAATCTTGGCCAGATCAGAGAAATTTGCAGTGTAGACAGGTTCAGTACTGCACCTGTCGGTACAGACAGGTTCACTTCATCTGTTGGTACAGACAGGTTCACTGAAAGTGTGCACCTGTCAGCAGAGGCAGGTTCAGTGCAGGTCTGGTCCCTGAGCAGCGGGTCAGGCTCCATTCATCATGTTCAAGGCAAACGGCTGTTTAAATCTGTATTGATCTGAGCTGCTCTGTGCACCAGAGACTTTACATAACACAAGAGGTGCTCACATGACATTATTAAGCTCTTAGTTTCTTCATTATCATTTTGATTCATTTATATACCATATTTTTCTGACCATAACACTTATAATCCTTTCATTTTCTCAAAAATCAATAGTGCACCTTATACTCTGGTGCGCCTTATGTATTAATTCTGTTTGTGTTTACTGACCTCGAACAGATTTTATGTGGTACACGGCGCTCAAAAATCTGTTCAAATGTTTTAGTACAACTTAGGTAAACTACAAAGCCGCACCGCTTCATGGGTTGTCAGAGCATTACGGCTGCTGTAGTCAGGAGCCTCACAGAGTAAATCCCAATTTACAGTCTTTAGTCCGACAAAAGCTGATGCATCAGCACACAAGGAGCGAGCTGTTTTATTCAGAGCTTGTAGTTTATGCAAATGAGTCATGTGGTTTTAAGTTTTGTTTCTGTAAAATAAAACAATTATGGCAAAGCTGCATTAAACACATTATTACTCAATGTATATATGAGTCGTTCTCGTATAAAATAAAAAAACAAACTTAAATGATCCACCCACATTCACTTTCATAATCCACATTCACCAAGACAGAGAGACAACGCCGGGCAAATTACACCACGATCTGCCAATGGATCATGGACGCCTGGACTAAAGATCAATCTCAAGTGTCGTCTGTTTGTTTCTCTAAATGCTCCTTATAATCCAGTGCAATTTATGTATGAAAATAGACGAGAGAATTCAACATTACTGATACTGCCCCTTATGGTTCGGTGTGTTTTATAGTCTGAAAAATACAGTATGTAAGGGTGTGTTTCTTTGTACACCGGGGTAGTCATATTGTGCACCTGTAAACCTTTAAAACTGTTAAAGAGCTACAAAAAAGTCACATTTTTAGAACAAACGAAAGAGGTCACATGTCTGTCATCTGTCAGTGAACGAGGATGAACTTACGTGTGGCTCTAAACTAAGAAAACCTCACTAAACCGTCTCTTACCCCCCGCCTCCTCTCTTCCCTGTCGCCCTGCAGGAGGAGATCTGTCCCCAGGGTTCCTCCTCTCAGCCGGAGCCG